ATGGCATGGGGAGTTCTGGCTGGGCTACTCAATTGCAATGTAATGCAAGGCTTCCTAGGTGAAAAAAAATCACATATGTTCACAAATTGTGTGCTCCTTGCATTCTTGGATCTGATCTGTTACTGTGCCTCCACCATGTTTCATGTATAGTGTCCTATAAAAAATGGGAGTCTCAGACTGCAAAACCTAAATTTACACATGCTTTTGTCCTGATTGGTTCTCTGAAATGACAGCAATAGGTCAGGGCCTGAGACTTTTTCTGCAAAGTTTCTTGTATCTTTGTCTTTCAAGAAGAACATTTAAGGAGAAAAATTCCATGTCAAATCTGTAAAATCCAGACAAATTAAATATAGTTCTCTGGTATTAGTGGACTAGGACATTGTTTTGTAATGCATTTTTAGCCCTGGGAAAATACTTCACAAACAGCATCTTCAAAGAATTGTTGTATATGTAAGTGTGTGTGTAAACCAGTGATAAAGGATTATCACAGATACATCCTGTCAAGATAAAGTAAACGTATTTTGGGGGTGATTTTGCAATGAAGTGTTATACGCATCCGAGCTGTCAGGCTTCAGAGCAGAGACTTGTCCTGGCTGGCCTCTGTGCTGGGAGAGCACGGCTGCATCTTCCCTTCCCAGTGTGGGATTTCATTTGGATGCCCCACTGATCCCTTATTGGGACCATGCTTTCCAGAAGCTACTGGTTGTTTTTCTCCCTGGTCCCCTGGAAAAGGGTATCTTCAGGTCATTCTTCGAAGGGCATCACCTCGGGTGTAGTTGCTTTGGGTAGTGTTGTAATATTTGGGTAATACGCTTTTTGGTATAAAATTCTTACTAGGGAAGAGCAGTACTGTTGCTCCTAGGAGGAAATCCAAAGTAAATGCAGCCTTTAGTTAAAAAAGAAGTGGGTAGTGACAAAGTGTAGTATGTGTGCATGTGCATCCTGTAAGGAGAGCAGGCAGCATGCTGGAAGAGATGTAGGTGGCCATCTGGTCATGTTTTCAGCCATCACTGTGCTTCACCATTTGGTGTGCAGGCTCCACCATTGTGTGAGGGGAGAATCCTGAATCCTATATGCCTGGTCTGCAGTCTCCTCACTTGTACTTTGCGTCCCTGCTTGGGGACAAACAGGGATGCTTCCAATGAAGTAGCACTTTGGGCTTTGCTGGAGTTGAGTAGGAATTCCACCATCCACCTGGAATAAGGTTACAATTCTGAGAGGGGTTGAAGTTTTCTTGCTCTGTATATATATGATGAATCCTACAGGGTACATACATTATATATAGAAATACTCTGTTATACTATATATTTAAAATATTGTCTAGTAGTCAAGATATTTGAATTTAATCTTAGGAGGTATGTGCTGGTTCTATGATTTGCTTCTGCTAGGAGTCAGCTCAGCAAAGCCTGTGGGGCACAGTTCTTGTTGTCTGTGGTAAGGAGGAGCTGGAGCACTGCTGAGAATGGAAGAACCTGGATGAAGCCAGGCATCAGGGAGCCTGGTGGAAACCCATAGCCTGGCTGTGGTCGAGCAGCCTTAAGACTAGCTGGCTCATGAGCATCAGTTCCAATGGTGCGAGTGGTGATGGTTTCTGAGCAGCAGTGGGCAATGAAGGTGGGAAGAGCCGTCTTCATCTTTAGCACAGTTATTCTGCAAATAGCCTCTCCACTAGTGATGGGCTCGACTGTAGTTCCATCTGGTAAGGGATGGAATCGTTCACAGTTTGCCTGCAGAGTCTAGCATCTCTCTCTAAGCAGATGTAAAACTTGTTGTCGTGGGTCTCTGTGCCTTCTTGCAAGGCAAAAGATGTTTTTGGGTTAATGAAGATAGGCTTTATAGTACACAGAAAAAGTCAGCGGAAAAGGTTAGTACTGGAGAAGGCTATAGGAAAGTAAAAATACGATGTTACCCATCAGTCTTGCATGCTGAGCCCATGGAGCACATGAGGGAACGTGCAGCAGCATGAGCCACCTCCGTTAGCCTGGCAGTGGGGTGATGTGCTTGTGGAGGGGATGGCACAGAGTGTGATGGGAAAAAGTTGCAGCCACATAAATGAATGATCTTGTTATTGGAAGGTTTTGTGTAGTGGTCTCCCTTAGTGGAAGCGATGAGCTGTACGTGCTCATTCCTGTGGGTGTTGCAAAGGGGAATAGCTGCAAAGTAGAGAGTGGGGGTGGTGGTGTGTGTGTATGAATTTAACACAGTAATTATTGAGTGCAGTTTAACAAGCCATAAACCCTTCTGTGATTTACTTGCATCGTAAAAGGGAGACCAGAAGCACTCAGTCTTGGTTTTCTTTAACCATATAAGACCTAGTAAGAGAGTCTTTGGTTATTAGTGTCTGTGTGTACATAAATGATCTTCCAGTCCTAAATATTACTATTTCACAAAACCAACCCAGTATGCTATTCCATGTAATGTGGTGCCTGCAAGAATTTAAACTATGCAACCTAGTCCCCCAAATGGTTTTCTTAATATGGTTTTGTGTGTGCATAGACCCCTAAGAGTATAAAATGTCAAATTTGATCCCAGAACTAGCCTTTGAGGTTGTACGTGAACACAGTTTTCTACAGAGCTGATTGGAAAACAGGGTTTATTCTGTGGTCTTTGAGCTATTTAAAATGTTTTTATTTAAAGTAGAATGAATGTCCAAAATATCCTGTCTTCCTTTCCAGAAATAATCTTCCTTGAACAATGTAAGTAGTTTTATATTACTTGCATTAATCCAAATATTAGAATACTTATGCTTCAACTTTTTCATTATGCATAAAAGAGAATCTAAAACTAAATTAGCAGTGTTTAAAAAAAAAAAAGGAAACCCTTGCTTCAGTAGAAAACTTCATCAAAGGTGTTCTCATGCAGTATTTTATCTTGTTATTTGAATGCTGCATTTTCAGGATTTTCTTGTCAAACCATTTTTTTCTATAGTAAAAGGAAAGTCCTTATATGAATAAGGCACTTGATGACGGACTATTGCCATCTTCTGTTTGTTCAATTGCACTACATTGCATAACATATGCATAAAAATTAATTGCTCAAAACACGCATCAGCTCCTTAAAATCTACGTTTTTAAAGTTGTCTGTTTATTTTTTGTATGAGCAGCTTTTACTCTAAACAAATGTGATTTAATCTATGGTGAAGTACAGGACAAAATGATTCATGTAAACATTGTTCCCTTCACAGGATTAAATACAAACACATCTTTGTAGCCTTGAGTGGCCAAATATATCTCCCATGCCGATTTCTGCAGGCGCACTGAGGATGTTTGGGTGGCTGCAGAGCAAGGGAGGAGGTGTTGGTCTAAGGCCACCCGTGCTCTGTGTGCTGGGTTAGTCGTGTACCCGGGCTGTTTCTTGAACCCCTCTGAATTTTGGGTGGTCTCCGCTGGCTGAAGGTGACTGAATTCATGCTCCTGGGGGATGGATGGTTTCCTGCCCCCCTGCAAACCCTTCTCCCAGCCCTTGGGGAGCTCCTCGTCTGGGCTCCGGTTGAGCTGCTCCAAGGTCCCCGAGAAGCACAGAGGCACCTGGGGCATGCTCAGTGGGAGATAGATGCCATCAAAGGAGGAGAAACTTGTCCTTCTGCCACTGCCTTACCCTGAAAGGTCCCCACACCCCACCTCCCAGGGCGGTGGAGCTGCTGGAGCAGCCTTGGACCCCGTTGTGGTCTTCACCTCACTGTTGGTGTGGGTGCCCTGGCCAGCTTGGCTGCCTGTCCCGCTCTGTCAGGATGAGCTGGTGCAAAATCAGCTCGGGAATTTTTGTGCATGTGCTTGTGACAAGTGGTTTTGGTTTCTTCTGCCCTTGTTATAAACAAATCTGAAGTGCTGTAGACAGCTTGCATGGTGCGAAGCCTGCCAAAATCTCATTGAAACAGGGTGTCCCAGTCAATGTTAGCTCTCCAGGACTTGGTTTCTTCTTTTAGATAATGTAGTTGTTAGTCAACACTTTCTCACGCAGCAGCTGCTATGTTGGTTTTTTATTATTTCTTTCTTCTTCCCTTGATTTCGGATGCTCTCCTTTAGTATTTCCTCTGCTCTCGTTGTGTGTACCACAGTGCACAATAATACCCTGAAGGTGTTGCCTGAGCTACTCTCCAAAAAGGATTTCACCTGTTTATCACACACAGTCATTGTGTCCAAGAGTTGAAAGCAGCTGAATTTGTAAAAAATTTTGAACAAAAAATTCCTAATGCTTTAAATCTCATTTCTGTTTTATTAAGCAGGCACAGAAAATGCTGGGAAGCAGTATTTTCAGCTTGATGTTGATGGCTCAGTCTTGTCACATGTGGGATGTTTTTTTGTTGTGTCTTCACTTAGAATGAGATTAATCGGAAGTAAAAGCTGTTTTAACAGTCTTTGGTGGTTTTTATGTTTAACATTTTGGAAGGGATGAGAAGCACTTTGGTAGGATTGATCTGTGGATGAGATGGTGCTGCCAGCACCACAAATGCCCGAGAGAGAAAGTCAAGACATTTTTGGCCGGCAGCAAAGCACTGTGTGGACAGACCGAGCCCCACGGCTGTCCTGTCCCTGCAGCTCCCTGCCTGCCTGGGCACCAAGGGGTCTCTGCAGGAGCAGCCACCTCCTTCCCTCTCTTTTACCTGCCGCAAACCCTTCAGTGGCCATCTGCTGCACCCCAGGGGTGTTGACTTGTCCGACTGGGTCCTGCTCCAAGGCCAGAGTTTGTCCATCTCGACTGGAGCCTCCTGGAGCTCCAGGTTGCTTTCTGAGCTGAAGGCATCCTTAGCTTCTGTTGGCCTTCAAAAAAACCAACTGACCAACCGAAACAACCCCAGACCCCCTCTGAAGTGAACCCGATCTCTGTGTAGATTTCAGCTTTTGAATTTTGAGATGGGTGTTAGTAAGCTGAAACAGAAAAGCTGTGCATGTCTGCACATTCCTTAATGAACTCCCGTGGTCAGATACCCAAAGATACATTTTATTTACACGATATACAAACATTCTCACAAATTAGCAAAAGTCTCTGTGCAGGTGACTTCACACATCAGTGTATTCATGGTATATGCGCACTTCTGATCTTCTGACACTCTGAAGTGATCTAATACTCTCGCTCCTGGTTCTCATATTTGATTTTCTGAACAGCCTTCGTGAGAATGATCTACACATGAAAAAGTAAATTATTGGATCCAGACAGACATTACATGCAGACAGGAACAGTGTCATTTCCTTACAATAATACAAGATTTTATGTGCAGAATCATCTAAAATTTTATCTAGATGGCTAAAAGTAAAGGGTATTCTGCATAAATGATATGGCAGAAAGCAAGTGAAAAATACAGCCACAACAACCCTTATACTTTGATTATGCTTTCGCTTTCTGCTTGATGAGCTAATGAATTGTTTGCTCGATTTGTAAATGTACCTGGATATCGCGATATAACATCCTATCAGTACTATCAGCACCACTACAAACATGCAGGTGTTGATGTAGATGACAGCTGTGTGCCACTGCACTCCCAAGGGAGACTTCAGCTTTATGCAGTCGTCCACGTTTTTCTTTGTCGGGTAGCCGTTGGTGAGGATGAGGTTTGGTAGCGCTAGGAAAGCCATTACAACCCAAACGCAGGCAGATAAGATCTTGGTGAAGGTGATGCTGTACATCCTGGAGTCTCCAAAAGGCTTCACTACTTTCAGGTAGCGGTCGATGCTGATGAGTCCGAGGAACACGATGGTGGTGTACATGTTTGCATAAAACAGAACCGTGGTGTATCGGCACAGGAAAGAGTTGAAGTGCCACGGTCCCAGCTGTGAGTCCTGGATTATCTTGAACGGGAACGTCAGTGTCATGAGGAGGTCTGCAACCACGATGTTTTTGAGGTAAAATATAAAACTCGTTTTGTTTCTGATGTGGAAAAAAATCCACACTGCTAGGCCGTTCAGCAGGATGCTTGCCAGGAAGATGATGAGGTAAAGCACAGGCAAGACAATGGTGGTGAATTCGTTGTGTGTGGAGTTCCCGAGTAAGCCTGCTGTGGAGTTGGGTGAGGTGATGTTGTCTTGGCTCAGAAGATCATCTGTAGAAATGAGGGAAAACAAATTTAAAGTATGTTTCTGGTGTTTTACAAATGGGGCCATTTCAGAACTGGAGGCTTCTGGGATTAACCAGCCCAGAAAGCCTGAGTTTATCAGAGTGCTCCTGAGTATTGCATGTGTCAAAATAAATGTGCCTGTGGCTTGCCAGCCTCTGAGCACGTTGTCTGTGCCTCCCGATGACATATAAAGGTGGTTCTTCAAGTAGTTTGACAGGCAAAAAGATACGTGGTGTGTGAGTGTGTGTATATCCCCGAGGTTCCCACTGCTCAGGAGCTCCCTGCCCGCCCTTGCTGTCACCCTGCGGGTTGGGGTCCTGGCTTGGTGGGCTCAGTGCTGCACGGTGATGGGCAGCAACACAGCCAGGGGGTGTGCGTAAGTAAACATTTTTACAGTATTTGAAGAAAATAATTACCCTGGAATCTCTCTGCAGAGAGAGAGCCAGTGAATCAAGCGGAGCTGGGTGCTCCCCTCGTTGCGAGCTGAGGTCTGCAGTGCCCGACGCCAGCCCTTGTGTAGGGGTGTGGGCAAATGCAGCTGCATACCAGCTTGTTGTTAATGAACTGTTAATCAAATTTACAGGGTGTCAGCTCTCGGCTGTCTTGGCGGAACGCAGCTTTTGTGAGCTGAGATGATCTATTTATCAAGAGATAGGACTCTGAAGAAACTCTTTGGACCTATTAAAACTTTAATTTAAAACTTAGCTTACTTAAGCGTGTTTAAAAATTACAGCCTCTGGGGATTTTAAGATTTCATGTGTAAATGTTTGTGAAAAAAAGTTCAGACTTATAAATTCTCTCATAAAACTACAGCACATTTTATCTCATATTGTTTAAACTTGGCTGGTGTGGTGTGGTAAACCAGGACTGACACCCATGGGGGCAGCACTTGGCCGTATTTAGACAGCCTTTTCTGAAATGACTTATTTCTTTAAAATGTTGATAGGAACTGATAGTTATACAATAAGCAGTTCTTCTCAATCACTTAAACTTCCAACATTATTTTACCTGGCAGTTTTCCATAGGACAAATTGTACCCCATCATTTGCACTGCTGTAGGTTTTCAGTCAAAATGCTTTTCAGGAGTCCCACTGGCAGCTGTAGATCCAGGATGCGGCATGGGCTATGCCAGCATTACGTTCTGGGGAAAATAAATTGGGATTAGAACCAAAGCAAACCAGAAGACCTCACCTTCACCTCCTCTCCTCTCATGGAGAGGAGCTTTGTGAAATGAGCATCCTCCAGATTTCCCAGTGAATGGGCTGATGTCTGGATACTGCACAGCTTTTCTGCAATTGAGGTCTTTGTTGCCACATCTTCATGTACAGCTGCGTGTCTGCTGCATCGTAGCAGGCCATCCTGCCGTGTTAGTTTTTTTAAGCCTGTCAGTTTCACTGTTAAAACTATTTCCCTTTCTCCAACTCACTAACAAAGCTGTACTGGAGCCTTATTGCTGTAGTACTCAGCAACATTATTCTGATTAACAGCCTGAATGTCTCTGGCCACTTTGTCTTGTGTATTTTTGTACCAGTGCCTTTCATTTAAAGAACCCATCTCCATCTCTGATACTTACCCCTCTGCATATGTTTTTTACTGTATTGAGACTTCATGTACTGTGATGAAGCAAGCTCAAACCCCGCTCCTGTTTCTGTAAGACCTGAAGATACTGGCCCTTCTCTGTATCTGCGCCAGTTAAGATAATCTTCCTTGAATCTGGTTGACAAACACTGTGCGCTGTTTTACAAATGATATTTAAGAAAAGCTTGTTTCATGGTGGTTGGTTTCATGTCACCACTGAAACACCTCATCAAGCATTTTCTGGGCTCTCACTTCCTCAGGTCCTCCTTACATCTGCACCAGGTAGGTGGCAAAAGGCTGTGCTGGGATCAGCTCTAACACGCTTTCTGTCTCCTCGGTGCTTCACAGGGATCGGTGCCAGTGTGTATGTAGCTGGCTTTATTTATTGTCCTTAGCTACATGATCTTGTGAGGGTTTTTTGTCTCAGTAAACTTCAAGTTTGTTAACTTCTGTAAAAATAAGATGGATTTCAACTTTCTAAAACTTGTCTTCCTTCTTTTGATTTTTTTCAAAAAATTTGGACTAAACCTTTGCAAAAACCTGGACTGTGACTAGTGAGTCTCTAACAGCCTGACCAAGAGTGTTCTTTTTTTAAATTCATACTGGATTTGATGGTCTCCAGGCGTGTATCTCTAGACCACCCTTCTCAGCTTTAAAAGTAGGTTAGTGTACAAGTATTTGCAAACATACCATTCCAGTTACGGCAGTAGCTGAAGTTTGTCTCCTAACTGCCAGAACATGCTGGTTTAATGCCTTAGTGCCTTTGATATGATCTGCTGCTACAGCTGGTTTCTTACTCCTTGGTAAAGGCCCTTGACCTTATTCCAACATCCCTTGCTTGGACATCGTGTTTCTTTATTTTTGATCTTGGGCATTTCAGTGACAAATGCCTGAGAGTGGATTTTTTTTTTTTTTTTTAAATTTATCATCTCTCACTTCTTCAAGTAAAAAAGTTTCATGTGTAATTATAAGATCTGTGTATAACTTTATAATGTATCCAGCAAATTGGAGTGGAAACTCTAAGTTCCTGTTCCTTTCTCGTGGTTTTGAATGGAGTGCTTCACAAGCCAGCCTACAGGGAATACAGAAAAACTATCGAATCTATTTACGCTGTGATGGCATTATAGTATTTTGACATTGTTCAAAGAAGTTTTGACAACACTGATTCCTAAGACTATATTCCTGATTATTGCTTTACTCCTGCAGTGTGCAAATGCATTAATTTTTCCATGCTTCCCTTTCTGTTTACAAGTTTTGATAGGAAAACCAGCAAAGTAGGTCAGATCTCAGCAATTACACTAGACCTGACTGCCTCTCATATGGGAATGAACAGATGATAAAATTACTGAAGCTCTTTTGCAGATCTAAACTTGTTTTATATGATTATCACTCTTACGAGCTGTGTTGAATTGTCACTAGGTGGCAGTAAAGCAAATCCTTCCATTTTAAAGCACTAGTAAAAATTTTAATTCTGATATTAAGCTTTTTGTCAGTTTGGCTTCTTGTTCGCTCTGATAATAACTGGGATCCATAATGATATCATCAGGGATTTTTTAGATATTTTGTTTCTCTTGGTCTGAGAAGCAGTAACCTATCGCTTTTTTGTTGTTGTTTATAATTTGCAGATAACCTTGTTTGCCCAGGAGGCACAGAGATCAAAAGAGTATGTGATTTTATGAAAAGATGCATATCTATCTTCTTATGCAAATACGATGCTTATTTCCCTGCTTTTCAGAGTTCCGTATAAGTCTGTGTAATTCCTGGTCCCTGGAAAGCTCCCTGCTCCCAGGCTCTTCAGGCAAGTTCTCTCCCAGATCCTGAGTTCAGAGGAGTCAGTAAAGCATCGGTTGTGTTGCCTGAGATTCGAGGCAGTGTGACTGCTGACTGTAAGCCTGGGAACCAGGGTTTGATGACGCTGGGGACCAGATCTGTGCTAAATGGACTTCTCAGGTACTGTCAGTGACTCTGAGTCCCAAAGGGATTTGCTCTAAATCCTGTCAAAAAAGGCTCCTTCCTTTTTCCACCTCTGTATCCATCATTTTAGGTGGATATTGTCACTAAGAGACCTTAAATATCTAATACCAGGTTATCTATGAATGCCTCTTCATGTGCAGACAGCCCCTAAACTCTCCAAAGGTTGTCTCTTACGTCACAAAACTGGTGGATGTTTTCTGATGCTGGTGAGAAAGCTCCTTTGCTGCAGGGGGTCTCCTAGCTGTCCTCTGGTCTCTCCCTCTAACTTCCACCATTCACATTCCCATCTGCATCCTGTGCTTCACTGTCAGCAGAGACAGGCCATCCACAACATCCCTAAGACTCTCAAGCCCCTATTGACCGTGAATCAAAATCCAGTTTCCTTCCTCTTTGTGGGTAATGTCTTGTTCCTTGGCTACTGTTACTTGAATCCACAGGGCTCTTAGTCTGAGTCTTGGGATTTAGCCTGTCGTTTTATAGCTGAAAACTATTGCAGAATGTTGCAGATGGACTGGGATCGCTTGGACCAGAAATGGCTAAACCGCTGTGCCAGAAGGCTCTCCCTGGACAGGCATGCATCTTACCACTCTGGGGAATGTGTTACAGTCCCCAGTCTCTGATGGGCTCTCCTGTGCCTCTTGGGGTTTGATAGTATCAGTGCTGCTCCCATGCTTGTCTTGCAACTTGTCCGCTCAGGTGCAACCTGCTGATCTCCCCAGTTTATGCAAAACCCATGCTGGCTGAAGCATCCTGGCTGCTCGGTTGTTTTTGTCCCTTCCAGAGACAGCACAGGAAGGTGCTGCATGGATGACAGGAGCAGCATCATCACATCCCATATGGTTTCCAAGTTAGGGCTGCTTACTCTTAGCAAATTCCACAGGGGCTTGCTGATTCCTGCCCAGAGTACTGACTGTGAGGGATCCCTGCCACGTGCATGTTCCTGGCCAGTGAAGATGTCACATCCTCACACTCTAATTGCCCAGGGAAATCCAGGTCACCTGGAAGCCATACTGGGAGCTTGCTTCTTGTTCCTGAAGACCAATTAGGATCGAGCCTCAGAATGGATATCTGTGTCATCTTATTCCCGATGGTTTTAATGTTAAAACTTGTTCCAAAAATATCCCAACAAGATATGGGTTGGAAAAACAAAGCAGTAGACTCCACAAATGTAAACCCTGACAGCTAAGCTCCCTGAATAGCGTTCTGTATCCTGCCTCGCTGGCACAGCTGAGCTCAGCAGAGGGGCTTTGGTGCACACACGGGGTGGATGTTAGAGACAACACCTACCAAAGGCTGTCCTAATTATATGCTAAAGACTTTCCCTTATGCTGCTGTAGTTTGAAGCTTTAAAGTCTTAAACAGGTTTGTGCAGAGCAGCAGATAAGTGTAGGCACGATGCTGCACAGAGCTGGTCATGTGACAGAATGTTGATAAACACAGAGGTGGTCCTGCTCAGGCTCACCAGTCCAAAGGTGTTTCCATGGTTTCCTACCTAAGTGAGGCGAAAGGATACTGTGGTAGACAGAGCACTTGGGAGTAGTGTGGTTTCATTATTTACCTGCTAGGGTGGGTGAGCAAGGCTCATTTGAGTCAAATCTAGTGTATCGCTGTACTGCAAAAACTTAATTTTTTCAGATAAAGACTACAATATTGCAGTCTCTAGGAGTAGGATGAAAGTTACCACATATGGAGAATTCACCCTTTTCCATGTGTTCTCTTGGAATGGGAGATGAAGACTGCTTTCTCTTTCAAGAGTATTTTAAAGTATTTTCTAATTTTTCACTGACTGTGTGATAGTGGCTTTTTTTCTTGTTTGAATGCAGTATTTCTGTGCTGGGCAAGGTTGGTTTTCTACTCCTTGTTCAGTTCTCCAAACACTTTTCTTTTGACCAATTTCATTTTAACCAGCTGTCTCATTCTTCCATATAAATATATGGTTTTGAAGATGCACTAGAAGTGGCTCCTTTGTTTAAGTAGCTCTTTAAAGCAGAATACTTTATACTTCTTGTAGTTTATGCACTTGGTGGTTGTTGGTTGTTCTTTTTTTTTCCCCTAAAGGCTGTCAACTGCATTAAATATAAGTACACACTGTTTCACAGATGAGGTAATCTTTTACTGCTAATGTTGATAGACTGGTTTATATGTATGACTGATAGAACCTCAGATGAGAAATTAATAGGCTGCATGGCAGACTTCAGTGTCATATGGGTAGGGAATGACTGTATAGTTTTTCTAATGACTAAGGCTTTAAGTTGCCTCACTGTTTAAAGAAATTCTATATCCTCAACTCTAATTGCTCACTCCTCATCTTATTTACAACTTTTTAAAATTTAGAAAATTCTGTTTGTGATCTAGACTAGATATTCTAGGTCATAGGGCTGCAGAGTTTTAAGTGATGTTTCTTTATTTGAGCTTTTTGATGTGTGACTTCTTGCCAGTCAATCTGCATTCATCACCATAAAGTTTGGTAAATGACAGAGTTAATGTAAACAATAGAAATGTGAGCCAGTTTATTAAATTTGCTACTGGGTGGCTGTGATTAACTCAGTGATTTGGTTTTAAAGATTTTTTTGGGAAAAAAAGCATTGA